CCACACACACACACACACACACACACACACACACACACACACACACACACACACACACACACACACACACACACACACACACACACGTTGGTGACATGAGTCCTTGGAAAGTGCAGTATTCAATTTGTAACTATTATAGAGACAAGGACACAGCCCTTTATGTGAGCAGCCACAGAGAGAAAATGGAGGCAGTCACTATAGCAACCGCCAGAAGAGCGCCCAACAAATCAACAAACAATGCAGACCAAGACTTTTCAGGAGAGGCATTTAATGCAAAGCCTTGAATCATACAAAGTTGTCCTCTTAAGTTTCTGAGACCTGTCTTGGAGTATCTGTGGATGTCTAAGCCCCAAGTGTTTGGTAAAAAAAACCTTGTGTGTTTTTCTCCACACTTGTGTTTCAAGGCCGATTCCACTAAATGCGCCAAAGAACTGTCTTCTTGGGTCATGGCAACCTCAGGATTTCATTTGTGTGATCAGCCTTCAGGAAATGCTTACTGCTGCTAAATCACTTAACATAACAATGCTCACTTGTTGAAAACATTTTCTTTAACTATCTACATAAATTGACCATATACATATGTGTTTGTTGTATGGATAAAGCTGAGGTACATCAGACATTTCTAGCATTTCCAGAGAGGTTGTGAGAAAGCCTAGTGGCTGTTCTGCTGTTTCCTTTATAACCATGTTTAATTCTACTAACCTTAATCAAACATAAAGCACTGTAATTGACTTCTAATGGCACTTTCCTCAGTTATTTCTGCTCTGCTCTCACTTTCCCATGCCCTTTGTCTCAGAGCAGATAGCTTCTTCGGTCGTGACCTTGCTCCAGATTTCTGCAGTAGACACAAAGCTGCAGCGTCACTGATGCCGCCCGATCTGGGCTGTCTGAGTCTCTGAGCAATTAGTTTCTAGAAGTGCAGATTAAAGATAGAGAAAACATGGGAACTCTTTTTTGTGATTGTTTCACTGTGGCATTGGCAGAATGAAGTAGGAATTGAGCGTCGTGTTTTTAATGAGGACATAAAAGGCTTATTTTCAGGTTCATATTTAGTGTCTCTACGGTGACATGTCTCCATGCTTTAATGTTCAAAAACCTCTTTATTTTTCTCATACTGCCTGTGCTGCAGGACCTCTTTTCACCCTCTGTCTGAAACCAGAGCCCAGTCTGCTCTGATTGGTTAGCTGGCCAGCTCTTCTGTGATTGGTCAACCGCTTAGAGCTGCACCGCCCCTTAGCCTATCACGTACAATGTGTTGGAGCTCTAGCCAAAAGAAGCACAAGTGTTACATTGTGATGTCACTACGTTACAGAAGTAAACAAAGGAGTGCAATGGAGGCGTTTGATGCAGACCATTCACATGCACACAACCCTGTATAACACAAACCCCAGAAAGCATAATAGGGCCTCTTTAAATGAATGATATTGTTCATGTTTCAAAAAATTGCCACTCAGAGAAATATACTTCAAATAAATTGACTCTTTAGTGAGTTTTTATTGAAAAATGACAGAATCTGCTATTCCACATGCTGTACTTGGATTGCATACCTACAAATAAAACATAATGACAGACAATAATGATGTGCACATGTAATCCAGTACAATTGGAAAATGACATGCACAACATCAGATCATTGTGTTATAACTTTTACTGTCTTCTTTATTAAAACAATATTAGAAAATAAGTATTAGCGAGTTCAATAGATACATACAACAGTTGCTATTTTTTTTGTCAAGGTTATGGGTTTGCTTTATAATCTGCATTTGTTGTTGCCCCTTTATCCATGGGAGGCGCCAAATCCAACCAGACTGACATTTGAAGGATTACTAGATAAAGTAGATTTCAGTGACAAATGACACTCCCTTGATGGTGGGAACTCATGCAGATCTTTTATCTTTATTTTCGTTTCCTTCTTTCAAGTGAGGCACTTGAAAGCTGGAACATTAAAACAATAGCAATAAAGAACTATATACAGTAAACTAAATATTCTTTATGTCATGTGCATTATTTCCAAAAATGTAGCCATACATATGACATCTTTGGGCACGTTTTCATCCACACATAATGATAAATAATGTCTGTCTAAACCGCATGGCTGCACATGTCCGTTGAGGTTAAATAAAACAATGCAATATTTCAAGAAATAATTCAATCGTTCTGAGGGAAAATGGTGGAGTGGAAAACACTTGTTCCAAGTACATCTTGCACAAATTGGATGAATGAATAAACAAAATAAGAAAGAAAGAAAAAGGACCTGAGAGCAAGACAAAGCGCTGTGGCTGTCTATTCCACTTTTTGCTTTTGCAACAAAACATAATATAATCTCTCCTTGAGACAGAAAGATTTTTTATAACCTGCGCTGGCTGGGCCTTGAGCGGGAGAAAAGACAGGCTGGGTGAAGGCTGTTTATCGCGCGGTGCCCTTGATATAAACATGTGAAAAATCTGTTTTCTCTCTCAGCTAAATCAATACAAAGACATTCGGCCTCTGAACAATGTTGGAGCACTACTGCAAAAGTTTTTCTTCCCGTCTCCATTCAAAGCAGTGTCCTTCGATGCAAAGGGACACTGAGGTTCCTACTTACTGCGAGTCCATGAATGTGACCATACACTCAATGTCGTCCTCTCTCTACACCAAAGATGACCTTCTATGAAGACTCTTCTGTGACATATGCGATGTAAATTTAAACCAGAACTGCTCGCCACCCAATGGCTTGCTTTAGAATATATGCTCAGAACTTTTGCATTATTCGCAGACAGTTGTTCTCATTCTGACAACTTGTTTTTTTCTGGATTTACTCCCACGTAATCACTTCTGATTTCCCCAGAGCCCCTTTTCTCCCTCTGCCTCTCTCAGGTGGCAGTCAACCATAACCTGTGATGCCTCTAAGGAACAATTAAGATAAACCTCTAATTCATCTGCTTTATCCCAACCTGTCTTTCTCAGTCTCTCATTCACTTGACCTCCACTCCTCCCTTCCTTCAAACGACCCCCC